CCGGCGGCCTCGCTGCCGCCGCGGGCAGCCCGTGGCTCCCACGAGCGTGGCGGTGGGTGCGGGGCTGAGCGGGGAGGCTCCCGGTTCGGCTGCGTGACGGGCGCCCCGGGAAGCAAGGCAAGAAACGGGCTTCAGCTCCAGGGCTGAGGGAAGCAGGGGACGCGGGAGGTGTTTGCTTGCACGAGGGGGCTTCGCTGTCGGCCACGCTAAAGGGATGGGGGGTTTGGGAGTGCTTGGAAGGCGGGAGAGCCTTCTCCATAGCCAGCCAGCCTTGGAGCTGGAGGGGGATGCGGAAGAGAACAGGGAATGGGGACACATTTCCTTGCTTTGGGCTAAACACGCTCTGGATGCGTTGGCTCTGCAAAGAGCAGCCCAGAGCAGCTCTGAAGAGCGGCCCCCAGAGCGCTGCGGTGGGGAGAGCCGGCCCGGTTCCCCCCAGCCGCCTGCTCCTGTCCCCACCGTCACCCTTTCCTTGGGCCCATACAGCCACGTATGGACCGGGAATGGACCTGGGATAAACAATGTGGCAAAAAAGGGTTCCAGTCTGGATGCGTTCCTGCTCCGGTGCGCCCTGCAGCCCCGTGTGTGCTCGTGCTGCCACAGAGCACAAGGAGAGAGGAAAGGGAGGAAGCAGTGCCCGGCTCTCTGAGCTCCAAGTGCTTGTAGAAGTGTTGTGTAAGGTTATTTATTTATTATTTTTTTTAATTAACGCCCAGCCCATTGGGTGTTTCTTAAAGGTATATATGGCATTTAGCCAGGGGACTTTCACCATCTCTCCCTTGCAAGCATCTCCCACAGAGCTAATATTCTTGTAACAGCAGCGCCAACAACCCTGTGCTCCTGGATACTTGGCTGGAATAACCCACCGTGCTGCACGTTGCCTGGTTGCCCTTCAGGAGAGAGTCCTGAGGATCAGAATAAATCAGTCAGAATAAGCTGTGCTCTGTTTGCACTTGCCTGAATCCCCAGGGTGCCCCACAGGGCCCCGCTTTGGGATCAGTGCTCTGACAAAAATGGAGCAAAGTTGCAGCCCCGCTTGCTTCCCGTTAGAAATAACTGTCAGCAAAGTGCCTGAGGGGGCTGAGCCTCCCGTCTAGGATAGGAGCTGTGATTCCTCTGGGAGGAGTGACCGGGAATCCAAATGTTCTGGCCGCCCCTTCCCACGGCGTGGGGAGTATTTCTGTCAGATCCTGCCCGGCGCTCGCCTCGTGCCGCCCATCGGAGGCGATGGAGCCCCGTGCGGAGCAGCCTCTGCTGCCCGTCCTGCTCTCCCTGCGGCTCTTGCCCTGTGGATGCAGAATTCCAGCTGGGAAAGCCGCCGTGAGGCTGCTGAGTCCGGGATAGCGTTGGCATCATTTTGCAGCCGTCTCGCTCAGCGTTCCCAGGCGCTGCTCGGCACTCCCGTCTCCGGGACGGGTCGGAGCCGCTCAGCGGGGCTCTGCGCTGCGCGTGGTCCCGGTGGCCCTGGGTGCTGGGGCAGGCGCTGGGGCTGGTTGAGGTGCAAGGACCGTCGCTGAGCCGGGAGGGCTGCCCTGCTCCCCAGGGACCCCGCGACGCGCGGCTCCGACCTGGGCTTTGTGGCTACCCGTTGCCGTGAACGTTTCCGAGACCTTGTACACCCCAAGCGACCCGTGCACAGCTCCCTCCCTCCGGATGCCCCCCAGGGAGGCGAGTCCTGCGCGGCTGGGCCGGGACCATGCAGCTCCTGTCCGCATCCTCGGACACGATGGGGCCGTGGGAGGAGACGGAGCAGCCGCGGAGCTGCTGCTGGGGCAGAGATGCAGCTGCTCCCGCAGGAGCAGCTCCCGGCACAAGGGATGCGCTGCCTGTTCCGCCCTGCAGGGATCCCGGGCCGGGCTGTGCTCCGCGCGTTGCTCCAGCCTGCGTCTGTTGCGGCCCTCGACGTCAGAGTGAAACCGGAGAGGGAAACCAGGGATGTGGGGCTCCGTGCGGGAGAGCGTCGGCGCTGCCGGGGCCGGGCCCTCTCCGGGCCGGTGTTTGGTTTCCAGGCCCGGCCCCGCTGGCGCTGTCTGTAACGGGCCGAGCGGCCGTGCGGCGGCGGGGAGGAGCTCCCGCTGCCGGCGGCGCTTCCTTGTCCCCGTCACCGGAGGCTGCCCTGCCCGGCGGGCGCCTCTCCGCTTTCTTCCCTCTTAGGGCGTTGCTGTGGCCCGCTCCCGCCCTCTTACATGGGGCTCCTTTCACTGAAAGGACCCACATGGGTGCCCCAAGCCGTGGGGCAGCCTGGCCTGGCCGATCCCCAGGCTTCCTTGTGCAGCTCGGGGCTTCCCCTTTGCTTCAGGGTGTTGTTGGAGCCGGTAGTTTCCGAGGGCTGGGATTGCTGTAGCGGGAGCTGTGAGCTTGACAGTTGCTTTCCAGGCTTTTCCTGCATGTCACGAACAGAAGAGCCCTGGGTGTAGCTTGACTTGGCAAACCCGTGCCCTTGGCACTGCGCGTTACAGCAGCTGGGATGGGGTGGGTTTCCTTGCTGAGAGTTTGCTTTGGTGCTTCCCATAAATGCTATGGAGAAGGTCGTGTGGGAGCACTGGCCCTCGGGCAGAGCGGGCCCCGGCGCTGCTGGGCCTTCTGCCTCAGCTCTAGCCCTACTTGCTCTTTCTTCTGCCCAGGCCACTAGTTCCTTGCCGGAGGATTTGACCACAGAGAGTCGCCAAGATAGCTGGGCCAGGAAGAAAACGTCGCACCCCTGACCCAGACTCCATTACCGACCCCGGCGGGCCGTTTGTGTCCTCCAAACGGCTGAAAATGTCCAGCAGCGCCAACGCCCCTGGCCAGAGGAGGGTGTCTCGGGGCTTGGACGATGCCACCAACAAGAAGAAGCAGAAGGATCGAGCCAACCAGGAGAGCAAGGAAGGTGAGAGGCGCTCGGCCGCCGCGAGCCCTGCCGGGTTGGATCTCACAGTGTCTGCCGCGGACTAAGCAGATTTATCTAATCGCTTCCTGCGACCGATTGTAGCCTGCGGAACGTGGGATCCTCTTTGGCACAGTGTCCTCCCCGGACCTGCAGCCTCCCCGTTGAGAGGCGCTGCTTAGCTCCGGGGGCGCGAGGGCAGGTCAGCCCCGTTTCCCTGTTCGCTTAAGCTCGCCGTTGACCTTGGTGGTTTCTAGGCTGGACTCTAGACGGTGCTTTGGGTGGGGCCGGCCGCCTGCAGCGGCGGCGCTGGCGGCGAAACCGGCGCGTGCTCCTGCGCCGGGACACGTTATCGCTCCCGAGCTGCTCGAGGCAGGGCTGGCTGCCAGCAGCACGTGGGGTGCAGGACCTGGACGTGCGGCTGGTGCTTCAGGGCAAGGTGGGGCTGAAGGGAAACGGTCGCTTTGGAGTCATTCCCTTCACAGCTGCTGCAAACCGGTGACAGGGCTGTGGCCTCAGGTGCCGGTGTCATGCAGGGCAGGCAGT